CACCCGAGTTTTGCCACGGAAAACTTGGGGAGTCTTTAAGGCGACACAAAACTCTTCGCTGTTTCCGCTGCAGCAGACCAACGAGGTTATTTCCTTTGGAAGAATCCCGGGGAGGGGGGGGCACCAGAAAGACTAGTCCTACTTCCTTAGGTTTCGGACGTCTTTTTTCCCCAAAGACTGAGGGCTCAACTTTCTCTCTCTCTCTCTCTCTCTTCCTCCTCCTCCTTCCTGCCTCCAACTCGGAATACCGAGGTTCAAAGAGCAAAACCGACTCCAAAACCGGCGGGGGCGAAATGACAAGGTTTAAGGTTCGCCACTACGCGCAATCTTCGGAGTTCACGGGGCCTCTTGGCTAGATTAGGTCGTTTGAAGGAGAAAACGGGTGGGGGAATGGTCCATGTAATGAATGCTTGGTTTGGGGGAATCGGGTGAAAGTTTCTTCCCCGAGGTGTCTGAAGAGGCGGACCGGGGTGCCAAGAAGCCTGAGGGGGAATCGGAGGAGATTTCTGCTGGGTTTGGGAGGAGATTTAGAAGGAAAATGGAATCAGGAAAGGCCACAAACTCGGGAAAGGGGTGATCCTGTGCCTTAACTTCCCCGTCAAAAACCCAGGAGAAATGGAATCTCCCTTGAGCCCGAGAGAGAGAGAGAGAGAGAGAGAGAGAGAGAGAGAGAGAGAGAGAGAGAGAGAGAGATAGTTTTTTTAGATTGTTCTTCCTTCGTTTGGCAGCGCATCTGACGCATCTTCTTCCTTGGAAATTATGGGAATTATAAATCTGGATTGCACTGCAGGGCTGGGGTGGCGTGAACGACTTGAGGTCTTGCTCGGACAGACGGATCCAAATCCTGTCTCGGGAGCGCCACCTAATGCATCCAGCCCTGGCACAGGGTCTTCAACCCCCCCCCGCGCCACCCCCTTCTCCCGGTGTGGGCTTCAGGAATGCGGTCCTGGCCCCTCGGGTGGGTGGGGAATCCTGGTACCCAGCCTTTTACCCGCCCTGAAGCTCAATCTGCTGTAAGGCTCGGGAGCAAACAGTAGGTGAGGAGGGTTTTTTAAAAAAAGAAAGAAAGAAAACAACACAACCGGAGAATGTTGCTTTCGTTGGACTACATGGTCCAGAATCCCCAGCCTCTGGGGATTCCAAGCTCAGGAAAAAAAATCTGAAAATATGGCTTGTGGGAGGGGAGGAAAAACGATGTCGGTTTCTTGGCGGAAAAGCTGTTGTTGCCCACACACACACCCGCAGGTGGGCTCCGGATCCTTCCTGCGGCTTCGCGTCCTCTACAGATCCTGCTGCCTCCGCACCGGGCAAGGATGGTCTGGGGGCGCTTCCGTGGGGCCCCCCTTTGTATCCAAATCAATTTATTTAACCGCCCTCGTTTGGGGGATTTTGCGCAAAGAAAGAAAGCGAGTTTCCTCCCCCCCCTTTCTGTTTAATTTCTTTAAATTTTTTTTTACATCTACCCTGATGTGCATGAAATTGGAGGTTTTTAAAACACGCGTGTTCTTACCGCTTCTTTCATTCACGTTTGTGCTTTTTCTGTTTAATGGCTGGCGCCTGTGAAGAACAAACGGAGCGCTCCAGAAGGGCCGGCTCGAGATCCCGGGAAGTGTAGTCCAAAAGGCGAGGCCCCCGATCCTCGGCTCTCCGAGTAGCCCTTGGCGTTCGGCGCAGCGCGGGGATGGTTAAAAAGAAAAAGAAAAGAGGGAGCGCAACGTCCCCTTTCGCGCAGCGCTTGGCGCGATCCTGAGCGGTTGGGTAGTTCCGAAAAACGGTGCTTTTCCTATCTGGACCGGGGTCTCTCTCCCCCCCCCATCCCAAGTTTTTGGGATATTCCCTGGCCTTTTCCTGGGCGAGAAGAGCAGGCCACCCCACCCAAACCCGCCCCGGAGCGATCGTCCGGCGCATGGGTACCGGGAGAAAGGGGGACCCTCTCCGCCTGAAGGAAGGGGCTTGGTTCCCGGGAGGGTTCCTGCCTCCCCATATGAACCTTCCTGGCCCTTCAGATCCCCGACGGAGTCCCTCCTCTCGGTCCCCGACAGGGCGGACGGCTGATGGGACACGCGGCGGAGGGCCTTCTCGGTGGCTGCTCCGAGGTGGTGGTGGGAAGGCTCTCCTTCCAAACACCGGACGGGGGCCCGTTTGTGCTTCCCCTGTGGGGCAAAAGACCACCCCTTTAAGGCAATAAGCGGGAATTTTAAGAACGCTGTGTTTACTGACTGTAGAGATTATTAAAACATGTAGGGATGTGTTTTTAATGGTGGCTTTTAATACTGCATTGTTAAATATCAGGGAGAGTTTTTTTATGCTTTCTCTTATGCTTTTTAAACTTGCAAATCAGTGTGTAGTTCGAATTGATTGTGAGCCGCCTGGAGTCCTCCGTGGGGGAAAGGGCGAAATAGAAATAGCAGGAATGACTCAACAGCCCTCCTTTTTTCCTCCCACTTGTTCACAGCCGCCTTCCCTTCTGCGCGCTTTAGCCTCACACCAAGCCTGTGAGGTCAGGTCGGACTGCCGGGTCTGTTTAAGGAGGATCTGCCCCCTTGGACCAGGAGCCACACCGAGGGAATCGAACCCCCAGTCTCTGCCGCCAAAGACCTTCACCACTGTGCTGTCCAGCCGGCTGTAATAATAATAATAGTGTGCCATCAAGTCAAGCTATAATAATAATTATAATACTGTAATTGTGTGCCATCAAGTCAGTCCTGATTCATGGCGACCCTTTTCAGGGTTTCCCAGGGTAGCGAATGCTCAGAAGTGGTTTCCTCCTTCTGGGGTGTGTGTGTGTGCGTGTGCGCGCGCGCCCTGGGACCGTGTGCAGCTTTTGCCCAAAGCCACCCAGGCCGGCTCTTCTCGCAGGAAAGGCACAGTGTGGGGGATTCGAACTCGCCACCTCTGCCTCCGCAGCCAGGGACCTCCAGCACTGCGCTCTCCAGCCAGCACCTATTCTGTAGAAACAAAAGCGGGGAGGCCGTGTGGCCATGATGAAATACAAATGCCAGAAGAGGCGACACCTTTATGGGCCACTCATAATTTTTTTTAAAAAATAATCCAATAGACGTGCTTTCGTGGGTATATCCCACGGCTTCGAAGCAAGCGCCGAAAGTCCAAACGTGGCTGGCAAGACGGGGCTTGCCAGGAGGTGACCCTCAGATGCCAAGTTTTGGCAAGGGGAACTTTTCCTTTGGCCCAGCCGTCCGACAAAGGCCTGCGCCCGGCTAACCCGTGTCCATCGACTCCGACAGAAGACCTGCACGGGCGCGAGAAGGTGGGCCCCAGGGAGGCTCTCCCTTTGCAGTGGGGAAAAGGAGCGGCCCGAGCCGGGAGGAGGAGTAAGGAGAGCCGGAGAGCCGTCGAGGAGGGAAGAGTCGCGCGGGGTCCCCGAGGGTCATCCAGACCGACCCCGACGCTGTGCCCAGGAACCTTCGCAGGAAAGGGGATCTGGCCCCACCCAGGTCCGGTGACCAGTGGTCCTGGTCTCTCGCTCTGCCCCCAGTCACCGCCCCCCCCCTCAGCCGGACCCAGAGGCTGGTTGGCTTTGATACACCCCCCCCCGCCCGCCTTTAAACGTTG